TGGCTGTCCCTGGAACTGCACCCAGAGGCTGTAAATCTAATAATTGCTGAAAACCCGGCTGCTCAACTGGGGCCCTAGGTGGCTCAGAGTTCCCCCACACCCTCCCCCCCTGGAGCGGGAAGGGAGATCTGACCTTCCAGACACTGTAGTAATCCCACAGGGGTAGTCTCCAGGGAGGGTGGCGCACAGAGCTGTCTTTGACTATGACCGTGACCAAGGTCACTGTGTCAGTATGTTGGGAGCCGCGTCAGGGGAGGGGCCCTGCAACATGCCACACGGAGAGTGGGTGTGGCAGGTTATACAATCCGTGCATGCATGTGGAAGGCTTATGTAACCCGTGTGTGCCGAGGTTATGTAACATGTATGTGGAGAGGCTGGCCACATGTGTGCAGTGGCTGTGGGTTGCTACTGCCTTGCACGGAGGGGCTCAGGGTCCTTGTCCCGACTGATTTCAGTGCTCGGCGTCACCAAGCACAGGTGGGGGCCTCTGTCTGCTGCTCTGTGAGATGGATGCCATGGACAGGGTGACTCTGGAAGCCCTTTTGTATGCTCATGTTCTTGGTTCTGGGTTCCAGTTGCTGGGCACTCTGTGTTTGCCCGCACTGTGGTTATGTAGCACGTGTGTACGACCTGGAAATCAAACAACATGTTTACCGAGGGCAGGGAGGAGTATTATTAGGTGTCTGTCCAGCGGGTTGTGTAACACAGGGGCATACCCTAGAGGTCATATAACACATTGGAGAACGCCCTAAGAATTGTGTAGTTATGTAGATCCTGGTGCTTATTGACCATGCTAGGGTTCATACTGAAGGCTGCATCGGGATTCATATCTAGTGGGCTTGTGTTGCGTGTGTGTGTGTGTGTGTGTGTGTGTGTGTGTTTTCTAAAGGTTATATAACTCTGAGCATGTTCTGAAGATTCTTTCTGCATGTCTCATGCACTGAAGGCTTAAATATGTGGATATTGTAGATTGTGGGTGTTGAAGGTTCTATAATGCTGTGTGTGTGTGTGTGTGTGTGTGTGTGTGTGTGCCCTAGAACATGCTTGTGCCCCAGCCAAGCCCCTTATCTCTCTCTCTGAAGCGTCTAGATAGCTGGACCCTTCTCAGTTTTGTCAGCTGACCTAGGGGTGGGAGGTAGAATGAGGACATGAAGGGCAGGGGGTCGGGCCTGGGGGGTTACCTAAGCCTGTTGGATGAGAAGGGGGCTGCCCAAAGACTGCTCTGTGATTCTGCCCACTGTGCCCCCATCCAGTGCCAGGTCACCAGATGGAAAGCGAAAAAGAAAGAACGGCCAATGTTCCCTGAAAACCAGCATGTCAGGTGAGCCCGGCTGTGTGTGCCCTTCCTCCTTGCCCTGAACACCACCACGCCAGACCAGGGCTCTTCTGGAGCCTGGCGTGTACCAGCAGCTCCTGCGTCCCATGGGGAGCGCCTCCTAGAGGGCGTGGGATGGATTTGTCTGAAGGTGAGAGGGGTGATGTGGGCCCCAGCCTTGAAGATGGATTAGGTCAGAAAGGACCTCTTCCCTTCTCCCATAACCCTCTTGCCTGAGACCCCTCCCCCACCCCCAAATCAGGGCCTGGGCTAAAGAGCTGAGGGGCTGTCTTCCCCCTGAGATGAGCTGCTGACATTTGCTGCTGCTTCTCCTGCACCCCCTTGCCCCTGGGGGGGCAGCGAGAGAAAGGCCCTGAATGAGCAAACAGAAGAACTCTGGGATCCTCCATGTTCTTAGGGAAGGGGATGGACAAGATCACCTCTGATGTGCCTAGGATTCTACCCTTCAGGGGGGCTGGGCTAGGGGATGGGCCAGGAAAGAAAAGTTGGGGAATGCGGAAAGTGTAAGAGCCTCCCTGCTAGGGGCCCAAGCCATGCCTGCCTGCCTGCCTCCCTTCCTCCCTCCCAGGGTATATCCCTAGTTACCTGGACAAAGACGAGCAGTGTGTCGTGTGTGGGGACAAGGCAACCGGTTATCACTACCGCTGCATCACTTGTGAGGGCTGCAAGGTATGGACCAGCCAGCTCCTGCCCCTCCCCCACTGCCTGAGCCCCCACCTCACGCTTTTTAAGGCTCTCAGCACCCAGCGCAACAGATGGCTCTATAAACGTGTAACCTAAAACTCACCTATGACATCATCATTTCTCTTATTCATTCATCCATTTGTCCATTCATAATCCCTGCTCTGCCCCTCATCGGTAAGGTGCCTAATCTCTCTGAGCCTCGGTTTCTTCACCTATAAAGTGGGGATAATCATTGCGACCTACCTGATAGAGTTATTGGGAGAATTAAATGAGATCATCCACAGAGAGTATTTAAAACAGCAACAGACGCAAAAGAAGCACTCAGTACGTGTCAGCCATCCGTCACCCATCCTGCGTGTCGGGCGTGAGGAGTATAGTCTCTGCCCTGTCCTCAAGCTGCTCACCGCCTAGCAGAGAGAAACAGACCTCCGTTGAAAGCAACATCAGTGCTTTTCAAAATGTGGTTCAAGGACCACCTGCAGTCCTAGTTACCCTCAGATCCCCAGGCCTCGTGCCAACCTTACCCAAGCAGAGCCTTTCATGGGGGAGCCCAGGATCTGCCATGGAACAAGCCCCCCAGTTGCTTCTACTGCACTTGAAAGGGTTCGAACCAGAGCTGGGCTGGGAAAGTGTAGGGGGGGGGCGCCCAGGAGAGAAGAGGGTGGCAGGGTCTCCCTGGGCCGAGGGAACAAGTTCATAGACTTGGGGTGGGAGTTGGGGGGCGGAGAGCTTCATTAGATTTCACTTTGGACATTTCAACCTGCATGGTTTCTCTGGGATCCTCACCCTCT